AGGTCACAATGTACATAACAAGAAATAATCCAAATAACAAGAAAGTACCAAAATTATATTCATTTTTGCCTTTTGTACAATACTTTTTCTTCATAACCGCGGTGTCGGGGCCAGCTTGCGCGCACCTCGACTAATTTCGGGAGGTACCTCCCACCATCACAAGTATCGAGTAATTCTATAAATTTGATATTAGCCCTTCACTCGACGTGCATGACTTTCTTTAGAACTGCTGTCAGTTCCATTCCAATTAAATTGTCAGAGAAGGATTTCTAGTTCAACAATAGATGACTATAGACTAGAACACCCCATTGCTAATATAGTCCTGAAATGCCTAATATTAAAGTTTTGTTAGGAAAGATAAAAGAGGTGCCTGTTTGAGAGAAATCAAAAGTCGTCTTTCTTTTTATTCAACTCCTTTCCCTCTTGACTTGTATGCTTGATTATATTTAGAAGGATAATAGGGGATTGAACCTTTTCTTGAGTGAACATGCTCGACAGTTTCTCTGTTTTTTGGTGAATATGCCTGGTGATGACTTACCCCGCAACGAGCACAACTTCTTCTGTATTCCACCTTTCTCTGAAGCACGTTTATGTCAGCAATTGAACAGAAAGTGTGAGTTTTAGCGTAGTAGTACAATTCTAGTCCTTTGGTTGTATCTCATTACAGTTACATTTTCCCACAATCCTGACTGAAGGATAATTATCTGACAAATATTCTGCATGCCGTTGAAAGAGTACCATGCTAGATCTGAGATTTGCTGGCAGATCCTTTCAGGAGTGAATTTTTCATAACAAATTTTGCTTACTTCTGATTCAGATTTGATTTTACAAACTCCTACATATGGTTTGAGTTCTACAATGCCCCGTTGGAGAAGGATATCTCCTTGATTTGTGATGTAAGTAATTTACGCTTCATGATTCTTGATACATTTGCTTATGGATTTTATCGACTTAGTTTTCATAACTTTGTTGCAGACAATTCGTTCTTGGCACATTGTTGGACGTCTTGGTGGATGCAATTCACTGAATATGCAAGTAAGTTCCGCAAATTATGTACTTTTTATGTGCTTATTTTAGAGGTTGGAAACGAAAAGAAATAATCTGTCAATCTAAAATGGTAGTAATGTGTTTACTTGATGAAGCTCAAACAATAGCCTTTCACAGCGTCAGAGGTGTCTTATATTTTAGGCTCAACCAACTAAGTTTCTTCATGGCAGTTGTCACAATCTCCTTTGGACAAAAGGCCAAGTTATGATGCTGTTCAGGGGGCAAATGTAAATCCTACTACGTTCTATAACATTGGGGATCTTGAGATTCAGGATAACCTGGCTCGCATATGGTAAAGGTTATTTTGTTGAATTAGTTATCCTTGGATATGAAATGGTGCTTGTTGCTTATAAATTGACTTTTTCTTATGATAGGGTGGACATTGGGACAAGTGAGCATTTACTGTTGGATGTACTGATTAATGCTTTGACACAGATAAGCTTCGAGTAAGCTTCAGTTCCTTCTTCATTCTGAAGTAGACTTTCTCTTTCTCCCAACATGCAAACAATTTTTTGATTCAAGATGAGTATGCCTGGAACCTAAATCCTAGCCTCTGCAGACCATTATTGGCAAACACCACCTTCTTTTTCATCTCAATTAATTGTGTTGGGCAACAGAGCATCACATTAAATAGGCTGTCTAAGTTGTACTTTTCAGGCAGATTGTTTGTGTTGTATTCTTGCCATTTGTTTTCCGCATGTTGCTAGTTTGTAGCCATAGACTCACCTCGATAATATCTTCTGAACAGCTATGTTGGTATCAAGCAAGTAGTATTTGGTGAATCTGAATTTGAGAACTGGAGGGAGAACTTGACATCGGAGGATGCCGGTTACAGTGTTCACAAGATATAGATGACTGTTGACTCTGAAAGCTCTTATGAGAAGATGAAACAAAGATATTGAAGGTAAAGAAAGGTTGTAAGGACAAAAACAACTACAGAGAGCAGGCTTTTACCACTCAGGCTTTCAAGCTGCTAATACTGGTGCTATTCGAGGATTTTCCGTCAGAAGCATTTCAACTTCTTGATGAAGCATCTAGTTTTGGCTTCCAAAAATGCATTTTGGGCTCGCTACATCCGTACTTTTTGGAGATGAACTTAGCCTACGGTCCTCTATATTGATTAGGTACGTGTAGCCATGCTGGTGTGAGGGACAACAGAAGTATAGAAAGCTGCAAGTTTCCTCTTGACTGGTTTCCCTTAGATTTTGACTACAACTTCGTGTAAGCGACAGAGTCGTATCAAAGCAATATCTTCCACCACCTATCAATTGGCAGTGGAAGTGTTTTTACCATTATAACAAACCTCACTCATCATCAACTGTAAGTTGAAACAACAAATTAGATACATCTTCATGCGTAGAGCAGGAAATAATTCTCAAATTAGAGGTTGAAAATCACATTATACAATGCGAAAGTGTCATCCGATTGTACTATGAGAAACTGCTTTTAAGGTTTTGCTTGCTACGTTTGATAGACTTCTAAACTAAGAAACATATAAGTTTCATCTATCACATGCTATTACAGGTGCGAAGGTGTAAGCTTCGATCAACCAAATGCAGATATTTTTTGACCACTTTGTTATCAATCTGCATGATTCCTGGAATTTATCAAGGTGAACTCAATTACTGCAAAATGGGGCATTTGCATCTATACCCGCTTTTTGGGTCACGTTTTAATTTATACCCGCTTTGCAACAAAAATTACAATCGTACCCACTTTTCGCGTAACTTCAGGCATACGGGCCTAAAGTAGCAAAGGCAATCACGCAAACTTCAACATTCTAGTAGACGGGCCTGAAGTAAAAAAAATTGTTGAACCAAGTGTTGGCTGAAGTTTTTGTTTGTAATTGTTGAACTTAAGCATTCTAGTAGCTGAAATTTTGTTCTCTATTTGCTTAAGTTTGTGTGTAATTGCTGAACTTAAGCATTCTAGTAAGTGAAGTTTTGTTCTCTATTTGCTAAAGTTATTGTTTGTAATTGTTGAACTAAGCATTCTAGTAGCTGAAGTTTTGTTCTCTATTTGCTGAACATCAGCATGTTTTAGCTGAAGTTTTATTCTATATTTGCTGAACTTCAGCATGTTTTAGCTGAAGTTTTGTTATGTTTGTGATGAACTTCAGGGTTGAAGTTTTTTTTGTATTTGCTGAACTTCAACATTCTAGGAGCTGAAGTTTTTGTTTATATTTGTTAAACTTCAGCATTATTAACTTTTGCTGCTTATAACCAAAAGTTAAGAACAGGAGATTGCAAAAATGGAAGAAGAGTTGAAAACAAAGACTGAGCTTATAACCAAGCAGAAGAGACTGATTCAAAATTGGAGGAAGTAGTTGAAGGACCAATTAGACAAACACAACATTGAGTTGGAAAGGTTGTAAACTACAAAGGAGTTTCTTCTTTTGCGAGGTCCATTATGTTGTTTTCTCTTGCTATCATCCCTTAGCTTTCTGTATTGAAAGTGCTTGAAGACAACAAGCTCGCAACAAAGATGAACTAGTGGCTAGCTTTTTGTATTTATTTGTTTGGAAGTTATTAGGTTGGTCGAAGTACATAAGCAGCAAACGTTAATCTTTAGCAGAAAGTTCATACTATGAACTGAAGTTTCATAGCAGCACCAACAGCAGAAGAAAGAAGAAGAAGAAGAAGAAGAAGAAGAAGAAGAAAGAAGAAGAAGAAGAAAGGGTGTTGAAGTTGTTTAACAATGGGTACAAGTTAAATTTTTTTTTAAAAAAATGGGTATAGATTAAATAGGGGCGACCAAATAGGGCGCCCGTGCAATTTTTACTACAAAATGACAAACATCCTTAGGTCCATGTTCTACATGCCATGACATTATCTATTTATTTTGTCCAAGCTAGATCTGGTATTTCACTAAATAGGTCCACATAAAATTAATCAATTACTATCAAATTTTCATGTCATTATTTTACACGTTAAAGTAAAAAATTTCTAATTGATGACTTGTTCTTTTTGGCCTTTTTATCTAATTAATAAAATAAATCAATCTACTATACTTCAATATCAAGATAAGTGTAAACTTTAAAGTCTAACAGATTCTCCACAAGATAACTGACATTACTTTTATTTGAAAGTTGAACTTTTATTGTAAAGATATTTAAATATTTTTTGAGATAGTTTTGAAAAAAAGCATAAAAAATAAGGATGCTCAACTAACTTAAGCTATATGGATTTGGACCAAATTAAAGCAACAACAATAACCCCTCGGTTTAGGATAGGTAAAAGGATGGGCAAATTAGAGCAACAACGACATATATAGTACTTCATAGTTACCTCTATCTTTTATTAAGTTTACGGTTTACCTAAAATTAATAAAAGATGACTTATCTACGGATTGCAACTCCACCTGCTTTTTCTAGTTTGTTACCAATTAAGGTCTGGAATCGAATGAATTGAGACTACTAACCAAATCAACTGAATACACAGCGACGTTCTTCTTCTCTTCTTTCATTTTCCTTTTTAAGAAAATTACTAGTAACTAGTAAGAAGCACGTCTCTATATTTCTAAGATTTGAGACATTGAAAATGAAATATTTTCCTTCCACGAAAGTGGAACTAACCGTATGCCATAGTTTGTACATTTCTTGTAAGACGTAAATAATTAATTTTTTGGTAAAAAATGCTTAATGTAACCCCAAGTTACTTTAAGAATCTACTAAGTATTATCTTGCTCAACTTGTAAATTTTACTGCTGTGAAACTGCTGCAACTGCATGTTACGTTTTTTGTTAAATGACAAATCCATTGTCATTTAAAGACAAAATCAAGATAGTAAATTAATATGCGAATTATCAGTGCACTCGTTAGCAAAATATGTGCTAACGTAATTATATATATTTTCCCTATTTTGATATACACATTTATGAGCTAAAAATCAATTAGGAATTGCACAATTGCGCTCAGATACTGCATCCATCCTAAATACCTAGGCACCCAAAGACGAGGAATGCATAGTAATCGGCGAGATGCTTCGGGGAATTGAAATTAAGCATAGATCCAGAGATTTTCGAATAGGGCAACCTTTCAAATTGCTGCTAAATCCATAGGCAAGTAAGAGACAACATGGTGAACTGAAACAATTTAGTAGCCAGAGAAAAAGAAAGCAAAAGTGAATTCTCATAGTAGCAGCGAGCAAAATGGGAGCAGTCTAAACTGTGAAAATGAGATTTAGGAGAGCATTACAAGCAACGTGCTGTTAGGCGAAATACCCTGAATGCAACATCTTAGATCGAGGAAGTCCAGTAGCCATTGCCCATAAGTATCACTAGCTTACGCTTTGACCCGAATAGTATAGGACACGTGAAATTCAGTGTGAATCAGTAAGGACCATCTTGCAAGGCTAAATATTGTCTTTGTTGTGACATGTACGTACTATTGTTGCATTTCAAATCTTAGTCCTTGTTTTTATTTTTATTTTAAAGAAAGAACTATACTTATTATTGTCAAATGAAAGATGGTGGTTAAATAATTCGTGGAAAGTTGACACTAACATGCCCTTGAGCAAAGGGGAGATGTATCTTCCAAAAATAGTACTGTACCGATAAAGACAGGAAGGAAATGATTCCATCTTTGAATTTGTTATATATGGTCCATGTTTGCTGCTAAGGCCTAAGAACTGAAACTAGCACATCAAAGGAACAAAGCCCTATTATTTCAAAAGCTCAAACTCAATCATCAGCTACTCCAAACCTACTGGAATAATTAATTATTATGTTAATTGACATTTACGATATGAATTCGAATCAACCTGTTTCCCATTATGAAGACAAATATCCTTGCTGTTGACCCTTAAACCGATGCCGGTGATCTTAATTAATACGTTAATGAATGGTTGTATTTTAATTTCTTATGCTGACCCCATGTGAGATTCAAACTATCTTATTCCCATGCATATTGATTTTGGATATATACAAAACATTAGAATCATGACATCGACCGGTTGTAGAATTAACCCATTGATAAAGATAATATGAAACAAAATATAAAATAATTCGATTAATTGTCATATGTCCACGAACAAGACGGTTATAGGCTGCTTGACAAAAGCAATTATTCCCGTTTTCTTGGCTTCCCCTCGAAACTATTTGACAGATAAGATACTATGTAATTGTACGGGATAAAATTGATGAACGACAGGTAGGTGTTCAACGAGTTGACACGTGAAAGTAAAGAAAAGTAAGATATGAGTCAGCAAATAGCTGGCACCGATTATGAATATATGGATGGTGCTGAATAAGTTTCGAAGGTACTGAAACCGGGGACGAAGATCTGAAAGGAAGATATCGGTTGAAAAAAACAACATTCAATGAGCAACCGTTACAAAGAATCTTTGCATTAATACTCAATCGTTATGCAGCTATCAAGAGGGTTTTTATTCATATTAAAGAAGAGCTTGATTTGGGAATCTTATCTCCCTGAATAAACAGAAGAATTTTGTATTCATTGTAGGACACAAAAATATATGTACGCTAAAAGGGTATTAATTTTATTTACTACTTTCTTTCTTTATGTTCTACATATTGTTCTTATTCTTACTTCTGGAGAAGCTCATCTCACAATCACGTTTGTATTTTCTTCGAGTTTATTTAATCAATTTATTTATGTTCTTAGTTATTTTAAATTCTTGGATAATATTAACTCACGTGTCTATAAATCACGTTACAAGTTCAACTGTACCGTTTTACGGGTAAACAGTTTGGCGCCCACCGGGGACATTGACAATTGTGTTATTACTTTGATCCATTCATCTGTTACTAACGCATTTTGACACTTTTCTTTAGTCAAAGTAAAAACAGATATGGCAGCTAACGATGTGAACAACTCTTTCAATATTGGACCAAACAACGAGCGTAAGGATATGTTCCAGCGCGATGATTCAACCAGCAAAACTCGCAACGGCAGAGATGAGACAACCTTGGTTCGCAAAGAACTAAACCATCGGCATGTGAGAAGTCCAACTCCTGATGATATTAACGATGAACCTATTGTTGAAACAGTAAAAAGTTTGAGAGCACAACAAAGGGAAATCATGAACCATCTCTCAAGAGAAGACCATATAATGACGGAGCTCCAGTAAGCACTTTCGGTTGCCTCAAATAATTCCAATGGAAGAGTTTGAGCCCCTCCCAGCGTGCCCACAAATCAAACAGCGCAAAGAACTAATAACGTTGCTTCGAGGGAGGAGTTCGATTTTAATGAAAATTAAGCTGGTGGTGGAGGTATTTGATTCGAGAACGACAACAACACAAATGATCCATTTAAAACCGAGCTCATGAGATTCATGAGAAAAATGGATGATTGGATGGATCAAAATGCTAAAGAATTCCACGCCCGGATGGATCAGATCCCGGAAGCACCATCGGTATTGAAGGGACCAACTTCAAAGAAGTATACGCAGTTCCGTTCAAATCAAGTGCGACCCCGGAGATGATTCAAAAAGATTCAAGATGCTTGATATTCTAAAGTATGATGGAACTTTGGATCCACACGAGCATATCACAACTTACACGAAGCTATAAAGGGTAATGATTTGGCCTCGCATGAGATCGAATCTATCCTAC